GACTTCAAAAGGCAGAGGCAACTAAACACTGTCCTTTAGGAATTATTCATCCAAAGAAAACTCAAATACAAAAGGCTTGTTTAGTGCTGCAGGGCTATGTTGCAAATGTCCCTTAAACTCTTAAAGTTTTAAACATGGAGTTTGGGAAGACGAAAATCATCTTTATGTTCATTACTTGCTTCTGCCCACCATCCACAGAGTTTCTAAATAATTTAGATTTTCATCATTCTGCAAACRAAGCTTCCTTCAGAAAATCCTGCCAAAACCAAACTGTAGTGCACCAGCACTAGATGATTTTTTGGAGTATAGTTGATATCCATTGCTTTAAATTATCTTCAGTGATGTTGCAAATAGCCTTTTGTGTGCAAAGGAATATATATGCCCAAGGCAGAGAAGCTCTTTGGGATGGATGAACAGAATTTTGAACAGTTGGAGCAGAAGCCATGGGTAACGCCCTGATGAGAGAAATTAGAACATGCATGCCTGCATAATTTCTCCTGTGAAATGAAGAATAAAGAAGAGGCAGAGGAGAGTAGAAGTATAGTACAATTCTAGAATGGCAAAAGCTGGATTTTTTTCAGTTAAAATCAATTAATCTGGTTAGTATAATATGACATGTTGACATGCAAAGGCAACACTTAACTGCTATCCTGTGATTAAGCAAAGGGGGTCAGAATGATCTTGACCTTGCAGGCTGCTCTGCTTTATCAGAATGGGCTGTGCTTTATCAGGACTAGGTTCTGCTTAGCGGGACTGGGCTCTGCTTAGTGGGACTGGGCTCAGTTTAGCGGGACTGGGCTCAGCTTAGCAGGACTGGGCTCAGTTTAGCGGGACTGGGCTCTGCTGCTCAGGGCAGTGGGGGCCAAGGGAATGGTCCCACCTGGGGCAGCTGCTGGTGTGGCTGTCAAGCCCTGGGCACTGGTTTGGTCAGGCTGGCTCCCTCCAAGCTGCCAAAAATCTGTGAGCACAGTAATCTGCTATTTGTTCTGCATCGGGATCTGAGTGCAGGGAAGTGACACTCGTAGTATCTCCAGTTGTGTTTCATGGGGTGATGTGCCTCCCAGTGTCACGCTTGGTTCCAGTTCTGGCCTTGAAGCMGGAGAGAGTTGTTGTTGGTTTATGTGTCAGGTAGTCAAGTGTATTTGCTTGTCCACATTATGCTCTGCATATCAAACAGAAATGACATTTTGTTCATATGTGAACATGTTATTTTTAATTGATTACCAGACATGTGACAAGATTCATACTCCAGAATAACAACATCATATGTAAAGGAGCTTGAGATTCCTGAGTTGCACATTTAGAGCCTACAAGTTGTGCTGCWTAATAAAGTAAGGTGTGATCAAACTAAGAAAGTAATGTAATGCATTGTGTTCCATAATACTTGTACCTTACAAAAGCTGTGACTTTTCAGCTAAAAGACTTGAGTCTTACAGTCTTGTGTTCCTCTTRGGGCTATTCAGTGATGTTACTGTGGGAAGTCATTCTTGTGATTACAACTTTGTCAGCCGTAATTTATTTTTKTAATGATGCATCATTGTCTCTCAGGTGAACATGAAATTAAATTGAGTGGCTTGTCTATAATTGTGTTCTCTCTGTGAAATTCTGATGGAATCAGCTTACCAGGCTTGAAAATAGGATGTGATGCAGGTGGAACTTGGTTTTAAAACCTGTTCAGAGAAAGTGTAAGACACTATTTTTTTTTTACTTTTCCTCATGTGTTAAGATTTCCTGAAGTACAGGACAAAGACCCCCTTGTTTACTCCTATTTACTGTAATAAAAACAACAAATTAATGCTCTTATGCATTGCAGAGAATTCTCTCCATGCATCCTAAGTATATTTYGGGTATAGGTATGCTTCATATGTCTATAAAGCCAAATGAAATATCTTTCTATAGTGAAATCAGGTTTATTACAGTGTAATTTCCTTCTGTAAACAAGTCTCCTTTTAAGGATCWTTATCTGAAATAACTAATGAATGTAATGGTATTAAATAATAAAATATTGTTATGATGCCAAAAAGAACATCTCAGTCTCTTTGATCTTCATTTTGGCTAAAGATAGAAAATTTCACTAGAGACTTTTGTAAACAGACTCCATTAATCCTAACAAATTGTTTTGAAAAATGGAGACTATAATAGATGTTGATTAAGACAGTGAATAACCTTGAGTTTTAATTTTCAATACAGCGTGAGTTAACTCCACATTAATTGGAGTCACGCCTCTAAGTCATGTTGTACTGCTCTGAAATCCACGTGTGCCTACTTCTGTTTGTCTTGGCTTTAATTAATCATTCCCCTATTTCTTGGCAGCAGCCTGTTGTTGGGCAGGGAAATATGGATCCAGGTGTAGTGTTGAGCCCCTGTAGCTTCTGCCTGCCTTGTGCACACTGTGGCTCCGTGCAGCACAGGCGCTCCTGRCAGTGTGCAGTCTTGCAGCAGATGAAACACAGATATGTCTGTACTAYTTCCAACTGGTGTGCTGATGGGAACTACCTCTAGTAGTCTATAAACCTTTCTTCCATCAYTGAAAATGTTCAGATGTAATTTTTTTCTACATACTAACGTTCTGTGCATGTGTAATGTAGGTTTGTGTGTTTGCATGGAGATTTAATTTTTTGTTTCACCACAAAGCTTTTCATGGCTACCTAAGAATAAGAAAGATCCCATTGAAAGAGATGCAGGCATCTGTTATTTATGTTTAGGAAGAGAAATACATCTGGTTCTGACAACACATCATTATTTTATGTGCTTCTAAAGAATGCACCAATTGATGTAATTCTTTGGCTTAAGAGTGTCAGTGGAGTTAATAAAGAGCAGTGCCCTGACAACTGCAGTGTCTGTATGGCTTGGCTCTCTGGGCACTTAGGGGACCTCTTTTCTGATTGCCTTGTTCTTTCCAAGTTCCCTGATGGGACAGGGGAACAATTAACTCCCATAAAGCACAGGCCTGGGAGCAGCTGGGCCCACTGATGATGGACAGTRTGGGTTTGTGCTGTGCCATACATGAATTTTGCCCCAGGGATACTCCCTTGGTATCATCCCAGCATGTCTCATGCCATTCAGTGCCCCCAGACAGTGTGATGTTGCTCCTTGTGGCTTGTAGTGCATGTGTACATTCAGTCCTGGCTAAAAACTCTGCTCTGGGGCAAATCACGTGCCTTGTGGATGTGACCYGTCTGCTCCAGCTGCTCCAGAGGAGCAGAGGCAGAAATTGGACTGTGTTTCTTGATCAGTTCCCTACTGTGTACCCCGTAAAGACAGACCTGGCTCCCAGGTCTTCCTGGGAGACGGTTCACCAAATTACAGTTGAAAAATAATTGCTATTTTCAGGAGTTTAATTACTGGAGTTTTGCCTGTTTTCCTTGTTGCTTCTRGTTTTGAAAGCTAGATTAATGGTCAAGCATGTGGAAAGTAAATTAGCAATTCAGTACATGTGACTGGCAGTGAGGACCGAGAGTGAACTTGGTCATTGGAGTGCTCAACTTGTCCGTTATCACATATTTCTTACCTGAGTCTTGTACTTGCGCTGGGGAGATAACTACGAAAGTTTAAATGCCAACACATGGAAGAGCAGTGAAGAGTAGAGCAGGAGATGGATGGARAGCTCAAGGCAGAGTAGTCAGTGTRGTGTGAGTGGTGGTTTGGAATGTGCACATTAACTCCAGGATGTAAGCTTCCAAGGAAAGCAAGAAAGCAGCTGTGGGAGKAGGTAAGAGATTTCCTGTCAGAGGAGTTTTTCTCTTAGCCTTATCTATRGAGTTGTGGTGGTGGTCACCACAAGCTGCCAGGCTTTTGTGACTGTTCCCCTAACTTGGGGGKGGAGGGAGAGAAGCTTGTGTTGTTCATAACACTGCAGTACTGGAAGAACCCAGTGCTGGTGGTTGGAGTTCTTTCCCTGCCCTGACTCTGTTAACACAACTGTTGGATATTTTAATCCGTTTTGTTGACACCTGTATGCAGCTTGCAGTTATTAACATTTGATTTATTTAAGTGTGTATGCAATGGGGAGGTATTGGATTCCCCATCTTAGCTAAGGGTTTTGTTTTAATAAATTGCTCTCTTCTGGTGGTCCCTCAGAGCTTTAATGAAAGATGCAGTTGTACTTGGTAACTAGAAGCAATACRTTTTAAAAAGATAACTAGCTATTACTATAATGGTCATTGCAGGAAACAAATGAAATTAATTTAGTTACTCTGTGGCTGGAATTACATTATTAGTCAAGTTGATGATGTGTTTATGATACTACAGAAGCACAGAAATTTGTAGCACTGTATGAAGACATTTTTATTTCAGCTCCCATCATAGGCAAGCTAAACATAACTTACTGACGATGAGAAACACATGTAATATGGTAAATTATAAATGGGTTAATTGTCTGTCAGTCACTCATTCTTCTGAGCAACTGCTGCTGCCTGTGTGCTACTTATTTTCTGGGGTTATGGGGGGAGAGTACATTTTTAATKGATGTGACTTCTATAAGCAGTAAAAGAAGCAGTTTTTCTAGCTCTACTACTGGCACAATTACTGTCAACTTTTGCAAGCGTGGTGCTGAATACAGACTGCTGCCTGAAACTCCCTGCCTGGTGCCAAGGGGCTGACTAGGAAGTGTTGGCTAAAAACCTCCTGTTTAAATTTTTGTGAAGTGTGTACTCAGAGCTACAGCTGCATTCGTAGTTGGAGACTGAGCCATTTCTGTGTTAAACGCTGGCAATAAAATAGAGTATGACTTTCAGTGTGAATTGAAGGCACTTGGATTTAGGTTTGCTTCCATGCTTTCAGCACATGAAGTGCARTATTGACCTGTTGGCATAAGAAGCTAATGTGGAATTAAACATTGCAAAGTTTTGTGAATGTGGATTTTTTTTTTTTAATTGCCCCTTAACAGAATTGGGAACTAGAAGCTCAGAAAGCACTTTTTGATTAGAACAGTYGATATTTCATTTTCATTTGGGTTTTTTCCTAACTTTTTGTTCTTTTTTTCTTTCTTTCGTAGTCTTCATGAAGAAATCATTGACTTTTATAAGTATATGTCTCCCAGACCTGAAGAAGAGAGAATGCGCATGGAAGTGGTGACCAGAATAGAAAATGTCATCAAAGAGCTCTGGCCAAATGCAGATGTGAGTAGGACACTGTTTTATTTCTTAATATGTAAAAGCAATATTTTATGAAATATTGACTATTGCAAATGTTGTTTATTTTTCCACGTTAAACATGAAAAGACATCTGGTGAAATGAGGGAGGTGATCTTTCTGTCTCAAATAATAGAGGTTAACATTTTCTATCACACATAGGACCAAAGTTAGTCCTGCTGTAGTCAAAGAAAAGCCATATGGTGTGGCAATGTTCAGTATCATGAATATTTRTTYGAAAACATGAATAGGAACATATCTGACATGCATGCATGTATTGTGTTAAAAAAATCTTCTGAAACTCCTATCTTTAGTAGTAGAGCTTTTAGTCCAAAGACRAAAAGAAGTGGTCTTGAATGAGTCTGTTTAAGGTGGTCTATACCAGCAGTCACATTACATGCACCATGGTATTTTTAATGGACAGTTAAACTAAACTGACATACTTTACAAACTGAAAAGAAAGCAGGAGTCTCTGTCTCTGAAGAAACAAGTCTGTAGATCTGTGTACTGAGCTTAAAATCTGTAATGCCTCTTTCCACTGAGGATGGGTTTTTGTTACTATTACTCATTCAAAACAAGAGTTTCTCCTATGCAGAGCTGTGCATTTTTTGATAAAGGTTGGATTAAAGAGAAGACAGARAAGTTCTTTAATGAGTCAATATGGTTTTATGGGGACACAGTTGGGTTTCTGGCATAATTGAATCTAGTTTAATTGTATTCCTCTACTAATACGGTGTTCATTTGCAGAATGTAAATTTCAGCTGTAGTCATCTATTTGTAGGTAACAGTRGCTGAAAATAAGGGCTTGTTAGCCAGAATAGCAAACCAGATTCAGACAGCAGAATCTCTAGTATAAGGAATGCTCTTTGATCCTGCCGCAGTAAAAGATGGTGTTTTTGACATGAGTGACTTAAATCCACTGTTCATTTCAAATTTTCTTAACCAGTTTTTTTGGAATGTGTTTTTAGAAATTGGCAGAATATGACAGAATGTGAGTTCTGTATAAGCTCTGTGTRTGTAGTGTGTGGGTTTGTGTGTAAAATATACTCCCATTTTCCAAGTGGTTATTGTTATTGGTGATGTATCAGTGAGCCTGGTATGGAAGGAGCACTCCACTCTTTGCACAGCTGGAGGGAGGTGGTTGAGTCATTACTCCATGTATTTGGCAATTTTCGCTTTGAGCAAACCCAGTAACMTTTCCATGGGAGCTGTGTAAGAGAGCAGCCTGTGTCACAGGTGTTGTACAGCTCTCTCTAACCAGTGAAACAGTCAGTGGACCCCAATCAAGAGCAGAGTAGTGGTCAGACAGGCAGTAGTGTAGGGAACAGTGCATGCTGTGATACACCCTTCCAGTGCTGTGACAGAGAGGATTTCACCAAAACCACTGATTGCTCCAGCCTAGAGATGTTGCTGTTTCCTAGGCAAGTTTGTGTGCTGCAGACTGAACTAGTCTAATGGGGTGAATGGGTTTATTACCTAAAGATCTCTGTTACCACTAGCACTTCGAATGGGGCAGAGAACATATTGCTGCCAGAGATACGCTATAGTATCTCTGGAAGCAAAAGTCTATTAAAAATAATCTTTTACATACATATATATGTGTGTGTGTGCATACATATATAGGTTTATGGTCTTGAKAAAATAGTCTTTCTTTAAGCTGCTGGAAGTTTTTTGTAGCCACAATGTATTTAAGAAGGGGAAGCAAATTACAAGGCCAAACCACAAGAGACAGCTGACCGCTGGGCTTTGCTRTAACGTGACCAAGAGGAAGCACACACTGTGTAGTTGAAAAACTGAAGTTCACTTTGCAATTAGTGCCAGTTAAAACTGCCAGGACAGTCTTTCTCTGCTGTGCTTCAAAATGTTAAAGAGCGAGAGCGTGCCAGTTTCTTTTTCTCAAGTCAGTAACTGTTCTTCAAAGCCCGAGTGCATTTTGTCTGCAGTTGTTACGTCGAGGAAGTATTCTCCTTTTGTATGTCCTTCCGTTTTCTGGAGGCTAAAAGGGAACTGGATGGTGACAACAGCATTACTGTGATGTTATTTTTCTAAAAYTTACTTTGCCAAATCAGCTTGGGAACTGAACTGCTGAACTCAACTGTGTTCAACTTGGACAGTCTCTTGTTGTGATTTTTCAGTCCTTTGAGTTAATCACTAACCTTTTGAAAATCTGTGTTGGTTTAGCCACTTCTAAGATTCAAGTTTTGAGTATATRCTCTGAGAAGGTGGAGTGTTATCTGGTCCAATGTCCTCTGCTCTAGCTGTRGTGTAAAGTGATGAGTTAATGTTTAAGCTGTTCGAGTTGTAAATACAGCCAAACCAGCTAAAATAAACTTGGTAGTTAAACATACACATTTAGTTTGTAGTTTCTCACTAAACACATAGGTAAGACATAAAAAATATATAAATATATAAAAAATCAGGTACCAAGGAAAGGAAAATCAGTCTTTATGAATCTAAATGTACAGAGAACGTACATGTGGAATGTGCCTGAGCACGTCCTTTTTCCCCTCCCCTGTTCYACTTAGGAAAAGGCTGAAAAAGCAGATGGAGGGGGGTAAAACTAGGTATCCTAAACTGTTACTTTATTTATAGAAGTTAGCAATTGTGTCATTTGCTCTCTTACTCAAGGGAATGTGCTTAGAAGGAAACATTCCTAGTAAGTGAGAACTGTTCTTGGCATCAGCAAGGCTCTGACCATAAGAAACACTTTAATTACGCTGAAACCAAACAACCCAAAACATTTAAATGAAAACATTTTAAGACAAAGATTTTTGACCAGTTCAATGTGAAAATTTGGCTATTAAACAAATAAGTACTTACACAGTGGAATTTAGGATACATTTGTCATAATGTCCTCAGCTTTGTATCCATGTGACCTCATAGATCTGAAAAAAGGGAATGTTGCACACTTCACACACTTCAGTTATGAAAATGCTATTATTGCGATGAAAGTAGAAAGATTGACTCTATTTAGTTCAACAAATTTCAGAAAATTCTACTGAAATATGTAGAAGAAAGGAAAATTAAATTGTCAMTGGATAACTTTTTTTTGTTTTGATGGAGGAATTTTGGTACCAAAACTTTTTAAGCTTTTGTGGGTTTCCAAGTTCTGTTGTGCTTAGTGAGCATCTAGTTGGACACATACTRTAATTTAAGCTCCTTGAGGAACTTTGGAATTTAATATGAACAATTTCACAGAAATGTGGGATAAACAGTAACAATAACAGAGGAGTAGGAATCATTGCAGTGCTGTGAAGACTTAAGTTATCTTATGAGTGCAAATACAGACCTCTGTCCACAAACAATAAAAACATGATTGGCAGTGTTGGCACACCCCAAAAACTGAAGCTGACAACTCAAGCCATAATAGTGACCTGTGTTTGGGATGCGTTAAATACATACACAACTGCACAACTTCAGCAGTTTAAATTCCAAATTGATAATAAACCAATTTGTGTTCTGGTTTCCCCAATCCTCCTCTTCTGTCTTTCCAGTTTTWATGGGAGAGGGGTTGAAGTGTTGGTGTGGATTTCTTCTATAATAGTTCAGTGTTTCTCATTCTYCAAATTATTGTACAGGAGCAGATGTTGTCTCATTCCTTCTGGTAAAGGTCATATATGTTGTTTCAGTAAGTTTATGAATACTTTCAGGGTTGTTTATTCAGTAAAGGCTCTCTTTRCTGTTCAGCTGAACACACCATTTTGTTTGATATTGTGAAAGCAGTTTTTTTTCCAAACCCATCAGTGGTTGTTTTATTGTGCAAAAGCACTTTCCTGGTGTTTTTGGTGTCCAGATTAATCCTGGTTTGACTGAACCCAGTTTCATAGAGAGTACTTTCATTGCTATCCTGGATTAAAAATTATTATTATTATTACATTCTTTTMATTCACATAATCTGTGATGCCTTTATGCTTTTGCACAATATTGATAATCATTGTGTCACCTCTCACAGTCTGCCAGTTTGAGAAGCTACAAACTTTCAACATTAAATTGTGAACTTTTTATTTGGCGTGGGGTKAGAGGCTAAGAAGCGTGAAGAGTGAAGAGATAAAAAATAAGAAGCAGCACTTAAACTGCTTCTTCAGTTTACTAAAGTATTAAGGCACTTGCAAAATATCATCTTTTCCTGTCTCCCTCTTTTTCTTATCCTGAAGGGGAAAAACATAAAAAGTGGGTCACTTGACATACAAATAKGTGGCAATCAAGCTGTGTGTGAGACTCATTAAAGCAGAATACTCAAGTCCGTATAAGGTGGCTCGRGGAAACACATCAGAAGAGTGGTTGAAAATTAGCCCAAATGTGTAGATATTTTTCCTTTGAAGTCTCACCAACCTGCCTTTGAGACTCAGCACATGAGTCTGACCTCCCTGCAAGGCTTGGCTAAGTAATGAGAGCAAGTTTTGGACAGCTTACAGTGCAAACCTGATGATTTACACCTCCAGTGCTAGTAAAAATCCAGCATAATAAAGTAATTCTGTGGGATGCGAAGCTTTATGAAACTTTTTTGTTTGTTGTTTAAGCAGAAATAGACAGTGTTGTGATACTTGCTTTGTAATTCAGAAAAAAATGGGTCATGATAGAATTGATTTTTTTGAAGTATGCAAAGCAATGGAAATACATTAAACTTCAAAAATGCTTAAAAATTGAAGGGTGTACTTTGAGCTGTGAAAACAAAAACCAGATTGAACTGATACTGTTTTTCTTAAATGTTCTGTCATTGTCAAGCATTTCAGAATCTTGGGGTTTTTGATACATTTGATCATGGGAACAATTTTTACATTGCAAAGCAGTTTTTTTTTAACAGAAAAGTCAAAGTTGTTCATGTTTTRTGTGTAAAAACAATGAGGATCAGCTGTTCATAGTACACTGAAGGATGTGTATGCTTCAACAGAAGTGTTGGGTGCCTGTTAGCAATACCAAAATCTACCAATGGAGGGTAGCAATAGCCAGCTTTTACAAGCASCTTAATAGAACTTCTTTGTCTTCTGAAGCCTGAAAATTTGTTTTCATATATATCCTTTTCTTATGTTTCAGGTGCAGATATTTGGAAGTTTTAAAACTGGTTTATATTTGCCTACAAGGTTAGTAATTTTTCAGTGTAAATTCCACACAATGGAAAAGTAACTTGTTGGGCCTGTAACCCTGGGGTWATTTATCTGCTTTCTGAGGATCTGTGTTACTTGTGTCAATATTGTTATTCTAAGAAATTGTTGAGCTATTGGTTCTCTACAAAGTGTACAGAAATACAGTAAATAAGACTGCTGACTGTAACACAGGGCTATATAGATTTTGCATGTATCAGTAAAAGGATTTGAATTACCATTGATCAAGAATTGGGATTTGGCTTCATTAAACCAAAAGAAGATGTTGGCCTTAAAAGAAAAACTAAATTTTATCTCCAAAGACAGCTAAATTGAATCCTTTAACATCGTTAATGTTAGCGCTGAAGAGAAAATGTTACATACAGAATTGGCATTTTCTTTCAGTCTTCTTTTGGGWAATCTGTAGTCAACATCTACCTTTTCCAAATTTTTTACTTGTTTTCWTAAAGAAGAGTCTTTACTCAGTGACACTGGTATCTTCTGTGTAGGAGTTCTGAGTATTTATGACAACTAAATAGAAATGGAGTGAAAGGCCTAAATGGCTGCAGGGAACAAACAGATTTAAATAGCACAAATCTGAGGATAACATTTGAACTGAGTTCTATACTTTGGGAACATTGAAGACATCTAGTACTGACTGCAGGTGATGAATATCCTCGTCATCATTCCATCTYTCTCTGTAAAAGAAAGTACCTAAAGCAGCTTTAGTGCTTGTTTTAGTTTTAGGACTTGTAAGGAAGTTGAATTTCTCAGTTTCTGCTTGTAAAGCCTGAAGCAAGGTGTACAAATACTCATTATTTTCACCTTTGGCCTCATTCCTGGCCTTTTTTCCCATTTATTTGAAATATACTTAATTAAATTTGATTTGATGCTGGTAATGGTATAGAGTYATTCCTAGCCACTTGATGGATGCTTTGCTATATTTGCTTGATTATTTTGTAACAGATGTAAGAAAACACTTTTCTGTTGTCATATTGTCATTTCTTGAGTATTTGTGTCAGGTTTTGGTGGAGAACAAATGCAGATACTTCAAATACAGTACATAAATCCACAAAAAAAACCCTTGCTGTGCTTGCCAGCATTTCAAAATAATCATCAGTTGTGTGTTGGTCATTAATTCACTGTTGCCTTCTATCAAAGCTCCCCTTTGCCCTAGTTTTTTCCAATCAGCCAATAACTTTATAGTTTGTTTAGATTTCAGTCTCTGGGATTCAGAAAGACCTGAAGAATGTTTTTAATGCTATGTCTTTTTGTTAGGATTTGCTTTATATCCATTTACTTAAGCTGCTGTCAAAGGTTTGGGCACACAGTTGTTCTGCTGCTGGATCTCTGTGTCCCTTTGCAGACAGTGTCTGCACTCAAGGTGGCAACAGAGCTGCTTTTTCTCTGATGCAAGGTGTGCATCAGAAAAATGTCTCCTGTTTTTAACTGTCAGCAGTGGGTTTAACACTAATTTAGTTTAGAAATGTCCAGCAGCATTTCCTGCCCTCCAAGCCAGTTTGGAACAGTTTTCTGAAAGCAGCCAAGTGCTGCCTGTCCTTGTCAGCCCAATGGTCTGTGGCTCAACTGCTGCTGCTTGGCAGGAGACAGCTCAAACATCCAAGGCAGATGTTTCTTTGGGATTGTTAAAGCAGTGGTGTTTGTYCACCAGCACACCTGTAGAATCTGTWGCAGGGGGAAATATTTCTCAGCTTTTTTGTGTTTTCTGTTACACAGTTTTCTGTATCACTGGAGCATCCTGCTAGCAAACTCTAGGGTTCCRTGCTCACCTCCTTTGTGTTTCTGGCCAAGCAAGGAAATCAGAGGACTTGGGGAGCAAAGCAGCTCAGGATCTCACAGTACCCCTCTCTGGCTTCAGATGGAACACCAGACACTTTTTCAGTTGGAGTTCAGGGATTGAATCAGGTTGGTCAGCACCCTGTGTAGTGAAATGATTGTGTGTATGCATAAGGAAGAAGTCTAGTGGGATGGAGATATTTCTTCAAGGAGCTGAGTTAATGAATGAATTAATTAAGTGGCTTGATCTTATTTAATGGCTTGTTGCTTCCTGAAGTCAAAGTTGCCATGTTTTCTTCTCCCTTTCCTTGCTCCCAGTTCTGGCACTGTGGGCCAGCAGCTTACCACGTGCCCACTGGTTCATTGATTGTCCGGAAAACCAGTTTTGAGATATAAAGAGGCAGGAAATTACCCCAGAATGTTTTGGKGGTTCTTTAAAAGGGAAATGAAGAAGGTTTCTGCCAGACCCATGAATAGGTGGAACTGATTTGCTGTGGATTAGGGCAAACACCAGATCTGGAGCAAAGGAGGAGACAGGGTCATGTRTCTGGGAGCAGAGGATGGGAAACAGGACTTTTCCTTTTGGTGTCAGGCTGTTAAATCGACATTCCTGATCGATACAGCCCAAAGGTGGTGATTCACAAGTTAATTTCTTGCTCTGAATCACTGGAGAAGCTGATCCCTCTCTGCTYACAGTGTGGCCTGAGGAGACTAATCTTAGGCTTTGCAGCCTAATTGTGTTTATCTGTCCCCTCCCCTAGGTAACCTGAAAYGTTCTGTGTTTCCCCAAGTGTAAGAGTTCATCTCCAGCCATTTCCTTGGAAAAATCAGAATGAATTCTTTGGTTAAACTATGTTGTGTCAGCTTTATTCTATTTATAGATGTCACTTGTTTGTATTTGAAGTGTATTGGTCTTTTAATTTGAATATTTTTTTTCTATTTCAGTGATATTGATTTAGTAGTGTTTGGAAAATGGGAGACATTACCTCTTTGGACCCTGGAAGAAGCTCTTAGAAAGCACAATGTAGCAGATGAAAACTCAGTAAAGGTTTTAGATAAAGCAACTGTAAGTTTGGGGGAAGAGGGTATTTCCTTGTTCTAAGCTRAATTTCTAATCAAAGAATGATGTTGGTTGAAAGAATGAATTTGCATAAGCAGAAACTATTTTGTATATTAAATTTCAAATAGAACTTTTTTAKTAAGTATGGATTGTAAGAGTAGGTAAGAGTATTGGGGTTTAAACAGGTGTCTAATTCAGAGCTATTATTAGTAGAGAGTGGTAATTTGGCGACCACTCAGGTGGAGATATATCAGAGTGCCTCCATATCTTGTACTTCTTGTTTGAAGTTCGTTTTGGTGAGGAGGTGATGACCCCAGTGACATGAGTTGTGTCATTTCTGATGTCTCTGGGACCATTTCTCTGTGTTTCTCCAGTGTTTGTCTCCCTCTGGTGTCTGTGGTCCCCACCAGATCTGAGCTGCTGCACCAGCAACTGACCCAARCCAATCCAAAATAAATCACCTGCAATGTGAACACTAAGTTCAGTTCAACAGGACAGTAAATTGAAAATAGTGTTTATGAGTTAGAAAAGCAAAGTTTATGTAAACAGGTTGGCAAGAAGAGTGAGTTCATAAGTAGTAGTCCYGATTTCACTGCCTACCTCCTCTCTGTAATGAAATATTTCAGTTTTACTGGTGCATAGAAGTTACAAATGAAATCAAATGTGTCTTGGAAATCTGTATTAATATTTCTYTCTTTTGCAGGTACCTATTATTAAACTGACAGATTCCTTCACTGAAGTAAAAGTTGATATAAGCTTTAATGTACAGAATGGGGTTAAAGCAGCCCAGCTCATCAAAGATTTTATCAAGGTTAGGCAATACTGTCATAGAACTACACACTGAGTATTTGATAACTTAATTTTACTTTCTGTTTTACTTTGACTGCATCCTTACCAGATATACACTTTTTACTCTGTTATTTTTTTATTGTCTGATAATGCTGAGGGATGGTCTTAAGCTTTAGAAATATTGCCTTAAAAGGAATGAAGGTACTAAAATTGAGATTAAAATACAGAGTAGTTTTAATGGTATAATGATTAAGGGAAATACACTAATCCCTGTCTTAAGTGTTCTCCTCTTTTAACTGTAGTTTCATGAACTATGTGCTTCTGAATTTCAACATRGGAGATAGTCTTCTCATGAAAGCCTGAAGGCATTTGTGTATGTGAAAGCATAAAAAAGCTTTGGTGTGTTCCTTTGCCTGGATTACTTTGGACCCTTTGACCTTGGGTGAGGGCACAGCGAGGGCTCTGTGCCCCTGGGGATGCAGCAGGAGCTGTGTGTGGCAGCAGGGGCAGAGCTGCAGCCCCATGGCACCCCAGGACAAAGAGCAGGGCAGGTCTGGTGACAGCACTGGGGTCAGCTCACAGCCTGGCAGATGAGTATCCAGTGAGGATGCCGAGGCTGTGGTTGGGGTCAGGATTAGGGTCAGGATCAGCAGCAGGGCAGCGTGGCACGGGGAGCAGCTGAGGTGGGAAGCAGCTCCCAGCAAAGCCTCGCACAAGGTGCTTTCCCCCAGGGTGTTCCCCAGCAGCCTGAGCCAGGGCTGTGCCACACCACAGCTGCCCTTGAGCACTGAGCCTGCGGTGGCACGGGTGGCACGGGTGGCAGGGCTGCTGTGGAGGGTCCTTTGTGTCACTTGGAGGAGACTTGGTGTGCTCTTGCCAAGTGACCTCATTGGTGTTCTTGAGGCACTCTTTATAAAACACTTGCAAGGGCATTCTCTTGGGTCTCCTTTTGTCTCACATAACTTTCAATATCTAACTGAGGTGTCATATTTRGTATTAGCCTTGGAAATGCCTCTTTCTCTTCATCCAGGAAGTCTGAGGCAGCTGGAGCCTTAATTAAGGGTATGCAGTTTACTGAGAAAAATCACTTCTTTAAATTTTAGTATTTACTGGTATTCAACACTTGAGCTTGTGACTGTAAGTTCTTACTAGTTAAAAAAATTTCAGTTAAATAATTAGGGAAATAGGGCTCCCAGTACTCATGGTAAGGCTCACACAGAGAAATTCTTAGCAAAATTCTTCTTTCCCTTTAATCATTTTGCAATCCCGGACATCGTGACCCGTATCTCATCTGTGACACTAAGGAACTTTTTGGCTCAGTGTTGATAAAAGCAGTGATATTAYTGAACCTCTTTTGCCCCTCCCCTGTGGGGGTGTACAGAGTGCAGGCATAGCCCAGCCTCCCCTGCTGTCCCAAAGGTCCCTGTTCTTGGCACCTYTTAAGGGAATCCATGCAGATAAACCCATTAAAGGACCAGTCACCCAAAGGTAAGTGTTTGACTCCTTTGGAAATGTTACCTGGGTATAGTAATTTTGAAGGGCTTTCTTTAACTCTGGGCATCCCAAGTACTTGCAGGACAGAAATCTCAGTGCACTTTGAGCTACCCCTCAGCTGTAGCAAGATGGTTTTGTTCCAGATGTTGATATCTCCATAGTTCCTTTGCTTTACTTCCTTTGCTGTACTTTTCACTTGTATGAGAAAAGCAAGTGTGTATATATAGATTCTAACCAAATACTTCAGATTTTATGATGTAATGCCTTTTTTCTATTGTTAATGTCTGCCACCAGAGTCGAACAGGTAAAATAACTGTGTTGATCACAGGCAGGGCACTTGGCTTCTCCACTGTTCCTAAAAATAATGCATTAAAATTATCCTTAGCTTAAAGACTGAATATGAAGTGGATAGTTTCAATATGCTCTCTCAGCATCCACTGGATGTGTGCATCACAGTATTGTAACAGCTTTGTTTTTCTCTTTCAGAAATATCCTGTGTTACCCTTTCTAGTTTTAGTATTGAAACAGTTCCTGTTGCAGAGGGACCTTAATGAAGTATTTACAGGTGGAATTGGTTCTTATAGTCTCTTTTTAATGGCTGTCAGTTTCCTTCAGGTAAGCTCAGTGAATCTATCCAAGCATTGGTACATAAGGACATCACCTTAAGAAGGAGTTTGATCAACCCTTAAATTTAATCATTTTTGATTAAATCATCATGTTTGTGTGTTTGCGCCCACTTTTCATTTAAAATGAGATACATCCCACCTGTCTTCTGTTCTTTCTCTGGTGCTGATACTCTTGGTATAAAAGATGTTTGGAACATCTGTTGGTGTGCCGGTGCCAGGCACTGATACTGATGATATTGATACRCATGATATGACATGTCATTCATGATAAAACAACTTGAATATTGTGTAAYTTACTTGGAACGAGCTCTGTAAAGTTGGTGTTAGCTGCAGCTGTCCTTTATAACACTTGATCTCCAGGTCATACACTGTGTTTGTGCTTTAATGAATGCAGTGGAATTTTAGTTGTCTGAGTTTCTAAGCTGATATCAAAGAAACGTGTTTTACGGTTTTCTCTTAAATCTATTAGAACAAACTGCATGACCTAAATCTAAACTGTTGTGCCTGGGGGAGAAAAATACTGGACAAATACGAAGTAGCTGATTTCTGGCTGTGTGAATTAATTCTGAACTAAATGTTATATGTCTCTGCAAGTGTATGTCCATACTTTTCCAGACTCCTCCACCTGAGCCTGGAACTGGAGATCAGTGTTTGCCAAGTGCTACTGCAGTTCCCTGCTGAGCACAAAAGAATTTTAGGCAACATGCATATAATTTAAAACCAAAATCTCTCCCAACCCCATTTTGTTCAAAGTCTCTCAGGCTGCTTACCTAATATCAGAGGTGATCCCATAAATAGCTGTGCACATGAGAAGCCTGTATTTGTATCGCAGACCCAGGTTTGTGAGGTGCAAATATCTGCATTTTCATGAGAACCCTTCCATTAGTTCTGGAAATTCACTTATTAGACTAGAAGTTCAAATGCCAAAAGATTAGTGCTTGACAACCTTTTTTTTAAGAGGTAATTATTTTATARAAGTTGTCATAGCATCTTATTTTAAAGATGCAAAACCGCTTTATCTAGGGAAAATACTGTATTTAGACATACTTGCTTTGTATATTACACTTTATTTATTACTGAATTTAGACATGTTTTCTGCAAAGAAGAGAAGGCACTTTAAACTTGAAGTCTTAAAAAAATGAACTTTTTTTCTCTCTTCTTAATAGCTGCATCCMAGGGAAGATGCCTGTATGCCCAATGCCAACTATGGTGTTCTTTTAATAGAGTTTTTTGAATTATATGGACGTCACTTCAATTATCTGAAGACTGGAATCCGAATAAAGGATGGTGGATCTTACGTTGCCAAGGATGAAGTGCAGAAAAGCATGTTGGATGGCTACAGACCATCAATGCTGTACATTGAGGATCCATTGCAGCCAGGTATCCTCATAGACCAAAATGGAATAACAGCACTGTTAAATGTTCAGTAGATTCAGTACAGTTTTTTTTGTTTTTTTTTTTTTCATGTATTGTACTTTTACCCATAAAATTGCTGGTTTGGGCTTCTGTACATGTAAATATCTGTAGATCTTTTAAGCTCTTTCAAATATTTATGCTCTATGTTAATCTTGCTCTAGAAGATGTGACTGCAGTTTGGTGGGGCTTAAGGGCAATTTTTTAGTGATTACTGTCTTTAACCTGAAAGGTGATAACYACAATTTCAATCTTACTCATTTATTTATATTCTCATTTTAAGGTAATGATGTTGGGAGGAGTTCCTATGGTGCCATGCAAGTGAAGCAGGCTTTTGATTATGCCTATGTTGTTCTGAGCCATGCAGTTTCCCCAATAGCTAAATATTATCCTAACAACGAAACAGAAAGGTAAACTTTCTCTGTCTAACTCTCAGACATTCATTKCTTATATTTTTGTGTGTCTAAAAATTAATTGTGGTGATGGTTTTAATTTTTCCTGGTTTGCAGTATATTAGGGAGAATAATTAGAGTAACGCAAGAAGTGGCCACGTACAGAGACTGGATATCCAAGCAGTGGGGAATGCAAAGCAGGACAGAATCTTCGTGTAATGGTGAGTTTTGACTCAGCAGGGCTGAGAGGGGAAACTTGCTGCACATTTTAATTGTTCAGGTTTTGTTGTTGCTTTTGCTTCACATATAAGGTATCTTAATAGCAATTTCCTTTTTTCGTTGTCTTTTCATCCAGAAAAGTCAGATTAATACAACAATAAAATGGCCCCATCTTTRTTGTGTTAAAATTGATTTGGTCAGTAAGGGGGTCTGTAAAGTAAAGAGTGCTGCCTTCGAAAAGGAAACTTTGGAAAAACTTCCAATTTATATTGCCACATTGTCACTGCCTCATTTCCTTTCTCCTTCACATGTGGACAGGGTTTTAAAAAAATTACTGGGCATGCTAGTTTGAATCTGAATCTTTAACTTCTGCATTTTTGTTTTTAATTTTAAAGTCTAACTTATTGCATATTTATGGAATAAATACTTAAACCAGGATTCACTATATAAGTGAAAGAAGTCTTTTAAACAGAAGAGTCCTGAAATATCAATCATGATTCTTATATTCAACAAAGAAACACGCAAAATCTAGTCAGATGACTTGATGGCAATGTCCTTTAAAATCACCTAAAATCTGTTGCCCATCATCTGTCTTCAGCAGCCGGTTGCCATCTTCTTTTGGTGCAGGTGTATCTCCTGCCTGGACGTTTTCAAACTAAAATGAATTTTAATWTTCTCCAATTAATTTTAGAATGCTGCCTATCAGAAGTGTTCTCTTAGTGATTAATCAGGGAAGATGTTGCAATTGCCCATTCTTTTGGCTAGGTTTGTTTACTTGTTTTTAGAATTTGTGTCAGTGATTTGTCAGCTGAATGTGCTCTGTGCCATTCGTGCTGTCAGCCTGCAAGCCCTGGTGGCCCTGCTGTGCCCTGGGAATGACAGACAGCCGGTGCTCAGTCCCACGAGCTCCTGCATTTCTACACAACATGAAGATCATGTAAATCTCTAACTCCTGAGTGTCTTATTTGAGATAAAATAGCAATCAAAAGAAGAAAAATAACCCTGTATGAGGAAGTTCAGGGTGACAGTTACAGTGGTTGGCTTRTTGATTTAGTTTAGATTTAAGTTCTGATTTTTTTTTTTGAGGCAGAGCTTAGTGAGATAGGAGAGTTCTGTATCTTGAATTTTCAGTAGAGGAAATTGTACAAAGCAATGAGGCTTATTTGGWGTTCTGATCCTAGCAGCTCCAGAAGAAGAAAAACTGGAGTTGCTRAGTATTGGGCATATAGGAGTAGAATTTAAACCTGGGTATTTGAGTGCTGTTGAAGCATGGCATGAAAAAATCTACAGCAGCACATCAGAACTTTGTTACTGCCTTCTTCCACGTCTTCTGTCCCTCATTTCYAYCTCAAACCATGGGCATTSCTCTGTGKATTAATGGATCCTGTCAGGAAGCCACCACCCCTCTGGGAGGTGCTGGCCTGCAGTGCACACTCAAGGATGCACTCTGATGTGTCTGCATGGATTTGGGGTGTGGATGTGGACTGATGTTTGTGCATGTCCTGTGGGATGTAACGCATATTATGTGTCTTAGGGTGTTTATTAAAAAACCCAAAGGCCACATATTTTTGCGAGTAATGTATGGAGATGCTTCTGTTTTGTTTTCACCAGGTAATGGGGTAACCTTGATAGTAGATACTCAGCAGCTGGACAAATGCAACAATAAYCTTGCTGAAGAGAATGAAGCACTGGGAAAACCTAGAAATAAAACTTCAGAAACACTTAGTAAACATTCTTCAAATTCTTCATCAGGTCCTTTATCATCATCATCRTCTACACTGTCCAGCTCTAGTGATGTAGTAAGTACTGGAGGTTTTCTGACTTGGCTTTTTAAAATTTCTTTGGGTTGTTTTTTCTCTGATTTATATTGCCACAAAATACATTTTGGAAGCTCACAATCTTAGCCAGTTAATTCATCCAGAATCCTAACTTGCATAAGGTGTTAACTCTTATGCAATTTCTACACATATAAGTTGCATTGTGTTTTTGAAACAATACATGTAGAAAGTRAATATAGTAGATACAAAGTTCCATAGCCCTCTTTTCTCTGGGAAAGCTGTTTCAAAATCAAAAAAGGCTGATGGTCCTAAGCCATGTGCTTTAAAAAGCAAACAGGCCAAAAGCTTTGAAAAAATCTGTTTGGGAATTCTATTTTAAAAATAAAATGCAAATCTCAGAACSAGAATCACACATCAATATGTCTTTAAATCTGTTTTACTCKATAAGAATAYTGRATTGAAARAATTTTAATATCTAATRAAATAAACAAGTTTTAAGTTTTGTCCAYTGTTAGCTTTATTTTTAAAGGAAAATTCACTTTTAGAAAAACTCACTCCTAAGGAAAACTCACTAATCCTTTACATTTTCCCGAAGGATTCTGATGGAACACCTTGCAAAACCTCTAAACAGTTGAGTTCTCGTCAGTCTACCACAAACAGAGTGGGGTCACAAGAAGTGTCACTGGAATCCTCCCAGTCAAGTGGGAAAACACAAAATAGCCAAACAGCCAATACATCCAGCAACACGAACAAATCTCAGGTTTGTGCAATGTTTGAAAACTGCAACTGTGTAGATTATTTGAATATTACACATATCTGCCGTGGAAAGGTGACTTGTTCTGGAAAGGGAACGCTGTGTTTTTCACCCCCCTTTTGCCCCACTATAATGCTTTCAGCACTGATTTTATCTAAAGTCACCTGGTTCTCTTTTTAGCTTGCACAGATGAATTTGCAACCGTGGCTTTCCCAGCTTTAAAACAGATTAAATTGGTCTGACTTTGTTTTKGGACACTTAGATTTGCCAGAGGTGTACAGCTGCATTGAACCTGTTTCCTCTTTGYAAAAAGCACTTCAGTCCAGTTTGGATTGCAAAATTTGAGAAATGCAGCTTGCCTACAATCAGTCAGTGAAAAGCCGTTTGTAAAAATGTATATTTCAAACTCTGACTGGCTGCTCCTGTAGCTGTGTTGATTATTGTTGCTCTTCCACTAAGGGAGGTGAAGATTCTTTGCTGATACATCACATTCCCCCTCATTTTCCCCTCCAGACAAATATCCTTATGAGGACACCTATCAGAACTAATGCATTTAGGAGATATCTCACACTGAGGAATGCTTCTATAGTAGCTCAATGTTCTGGAAATATTATATGCCTCCATATGCAATATACTCTTAGTATATGCAGTTAAAATTTTTATACTTTTTTGTCTGGGGGTCTTACATCAGCTAGTCGGGGGGTCGCCGGGGGAAACAGGAGACACTTTTTCAGAATTTAGAACTTGTGTGTTTGAAACATAGTCCAGAATCTTCTGGAATATTATTACTGAAAATAATTCTGAAGACGTGCCTCGTGTTTATTGATGATCTGTCTCTATCTTCTAACAAGACAGTTCACACACTAGGCCTTGGACATGTGTTTGTTATTGGGCAGAACTAATTCCAGGTTGGAATGTGCATGTGCACTAAATGACATACCCTACATCTCTGAAAAGTGATGTAAGTGATATAAAATTAGTTCTGGATGAAATTTGAGCAATCTTCCTCTGTTGTCTTGCATTATGAATGCTTCTTAAAACACCTTTATCCTTTCCAAAATTCCAAGTGCTCTGCTCTTCTCTCTGGACCTGCTCTGGGGCTAGAGGYGAGCATTTGTTTGCAGCCACCAAATTGGCAGATTGGCAGTGCTGTGCTGTCATCAGAGCACTGCCAATGACTGGGCTTCTTCTGCCACAGCACRTGTTCCAAGTGTACTTTTTCCTGATTATCCAGGAGCAGGAATGTGATTGCCATGCTTTATTCCCATGAGCACAGACTGACCATGTTCTCTTTTTTTCACAGCATGGATCCGCACGGTTATTTCGCTCTTCTAACAAAGGCTTCCAAGGTCCAACAAACTCAAGCCACGGTACCTCAGTCACAAACAAACAACACCAAGGCAGCAAATCACACCATCAGTTTTTCCACGGCAAAAAGAGGAAACACAAGAGGGATGCAGCCCTGTCAGACCTTTGTAGATAGTTGCCTACTTTATGACTGTTCTTCTGTGTGCAATGATCTCATGCTACAGGATAGTTTGATAGTGACTCCTTGGATCTCTTCTGGAGCTTCAGACTGTTCAGACATAGATTAGCAACTGCATTTTTTTTTCCCAGCTCGCCACGGAACGGAACATGAAGATTGATCACTGCAAAAAACTGAAAAAATACCCAAAAAAAAAAAAAAAAAAAAAAAAAAAAAAAAAAAAAATGAAAAAATACCCAAAAAAAAAAGAAAAAAAAAGGAAAAAAAAAGGAAAAAAAAATTTTTTAAAAAGAGGAAAAAGGCTGCTCATTTGATAAGTCATATGCTACAACAGGGTCATTTAGGATATAAAAGCTTGAATGTAAAATAAATGTATTTCCCATCAGCTCATGCTGACCTGTAGAGATAGTACTCAGTGTGTCTAGGGGGTGGTAACAAACAAATAAAACACAAAAAAATAGGAAAAAAAGGCAAAAAATTGTATTTTGAGGGAAACCCAGCCTTTAAAGGTGAAAGTAATTTGTGCATGATTTTTTAATTATTTTTGCATATACTTACCATTTTATTGTGTATATATAGATGACCATATAGGAAAACTGACATTTGTAATAGTGGATTTGTTAATACTTTTTACATAACATTACTGTTTAAATTGTAAACATGAATTTTTCTCAGGATTAGTTTGGAAAATAATCTGAATTGTCATCTTAACATCCGTATAAAGAGACATTACTAGCTATATTGCTCAGAATTTCTTTTCTTGGCATTTGGAAGATCTAATAGAACTTTTGATCTGCAAAAGCTGTTCCTCTGAAAGAAAGGTTTATGGTGGCAAATGAAGATTTTCGTTTGTATAAAGTGTACATGTACTCTGTGTAGACACTGAGCTTGTCATCTCTGAGAAGTAACCTTCACCTTGTTTTCTAGAGTGCCATCATTTCAGGCAATGGGATTTTATAGTTGCATCCTTCTCTTCCTCCTCTTGGTGGTCTCTCCTCGACCCTTCCTTCTTTTTTTAAGAGAAACAACATAAGGCCACTTGGGTTTTTTTTTTTTTTTTTGTTTTAAAAAAAAAAACAAAACAACAAAACTCAGTTTGTTACAGACGTTTGCATTCCTGGGCTGCTTTAATCCCATGCCTCCTTGTTTGTGCCTTTCCTCCCCCTTCCAGGTCTGGGTTTTTTTGTCTTTTATATTTTTGCTAACTCCTGTAGGAGATGATAACTGTTGAAGCTTTAAGTAAATTTTACAATTAAAGTATTTTTTTCTCACTCCCCTCTTAGGCATTTTTATATTTACACTTAATTATTAAAAACAAAACAATTTCAAATAATGAAATATACTTGGTATTGCCTTAACGACCCAAACCTTTCATATCTCATAATATTTCTTCATTGACCGAGTTCTCATTTCATTGAAACTCCACATGTGTGTGGTTCAGTCACATTACAAGTCTAGGTTGCAGTACCTTTGATGCCATGARTATGAATGAAATGTATAATTGCACTCACAGGCATAGTTTGGAACAGGAGTTGGGACACTTCAGTGGGAGAGTTAAATGGCATTTTCTTTCACTTATTTCTTTAAAGAGGAAGGTCTGTACTTGGCATACGTGGCTGTATTAAATGCAGCARTTCTGAGATGATGCTTTTATAAAAAGTGATGTTAGCTTGGACAAACTCTTTTTATATGCATTTACAGAATACTACAGACCAACCGGACCTTTATGGGCACTAAYGAGTGCAATGATTTTTAAAATAAAATGAGATCAGAACCAATGTCATCACTTAAATTAATAAATATTTTCAATGTGTTAAAGTGTTTTACTTCAAAAAGGAAAATATATATATTCCAAAAATACAGAAAGTTRTAACATTTACTCCAACACTAAGCTTAAGTGATGTTAATTTGACAATTTTTTTTTTAATTTTTAGAGTCATATTTTAATTTGATCAGATAATTTTATCAAGATGTTCAGCATTTCTTCATAGAAACTAGCAAAAGTTGTACTACATTATGCATAGTCACTATTTATTTTGTTTTAGATTATTGTGAATGTGTAGACTTATGTTCACCGCTTAGGGAACAATTATTTATAAATTATATTAATCCAGTATTGTTAGCTGCTATTAGCAAAACTGTTCCAAAACTTAATACTTGCAAAGATCTGTATCGCATTTACCACACTGAAGTGTTTTTAAAAGAATCACCCTCATTGTTGAAAGCAAATGTACTCCTAGGGTGCAGATATTAGTGTTCCAATAAGCATGTGATAATTTTAAGGTGGTGGTAGCGGGAAGATAATCTTGATTCCATTGGGAATCTTAGGTTTGCCTCAATTTATGGTTTTCATAAATTTAATGGGAAATAGCTTTTCCTGGACTGCTCAAGTTTCTTTTTGGTAAACAGTATCTTTCTAAAAGAAAAAAAAAAAAA